TGCATAATGAAGAGTGGCAAGTGAAAGTGCACAAGTGAAGAGTGCATAAGTGAAGATGCACAGATAGAGTGCACAGGTGAAACGTTCACAGGTGAAGAGTGCACAGTGAAGAGTGCACATGTAAGATGGCCCCAGGAAGAGTTCACAGGTGAAGAGTGCACAAGTGAAGAGTGCATAAGTGAAGAGTGCACAGATGAAGAGTGCACAGGTGAAGAGTGCACAGGTGAAGAGTGCACAGGTGAAGAGTGCACAGGTGAAGTGCACAGGTGAAGAGTGCACAAGTGAAGAGTGCACAGGTGAAGAGTGCACAGGTGAAGAGTGCAGAGGTAAAGAGTGCACAGTTGAAGAGTGCAAAGGTGAAGAGTGCACAAGTGAAGAGTGCACAGGTGAAGAGTGCACAGGTGAAGAGTGCACAGGTAAAGAGTGCACAGTTGAAGAGTGCACAGGTGAAGAGTGCACAGGTGAAGACTGCACAGGTGAAGAGTGCACAGGTGAAGAGTGCACAGGTAAAGAGTGCACAGTTGAAGAGTGCACAGGTGAAGAGTGCACAAGTGAAGAGTGCAAAGGTGAAGAGTGCACAGGTGAAGAGTGCACAGGTAAAGAGTGCACAATTGAAGAGTGCATAGGTGAAGAGTGCACAGGTGAAGAGTGCACAGGTGAAGAGTGCACAGGTGAAGAGTGTACAGATGAAGAGTGCACAGGTGAAGAGTGCACAGGTGAAGAGTGCACAGGTGAAGAGTGCACAGGTGAAGAGTGCACAGGTGAAGAGTGCACAGGTGAAGTGCACAGGTGAAGAGTGCACAAGTGAAGAGTGCACAGGTGAAGAGTGCACAGGTGAAGAGTGCACAGGTGAAGAGTGCACAGATGAAGAGTGCACAGGTAAAGAGTGCACAGTTGAAGAGTGCACAGGTGAAGAGTGCACAGGTGAAGAGTGCACAGGTGAAGAGTGCACAGGTGAAGAGTGTACAGATGAAGAGTGCACAGGTGAAGAGTGCACAGGTGAAGAGTGCACAGGTGAAGAGTGCACAGGTGAAGAGTGCACAGATGAAGAGTGCACAGGTGAAGTGCACAGGTGAAGAGTGCACAGGTGAAGAGTGCACAGGTGAAGAGTGCACAGGTGAAGAGTGCACATGTAAAGAGTGCACAGTTGAAGAGTGCACAGGTGAAGAGTGCACAAGTGAAGAGTGCACAGGTGAAGAGTGCACAGGTGAAGAGTGCACAGGTAAAGAGTGCACAGTTGAAGAGTGCACAGGTGAAGAGTGCACAGTTGAAGAGTGCACAGGTGAAGAGTGCACAGGTGAAGAGTGCACAGGTGAAGAGTGCACAGGTGAAGAGTGCACAGGTGAAGAGTGCACAGGTGAAGAGTGCACAGGTAAAGAGTGCACAGTTGAAGAGTGCACAGGTGAAGAGTGCACAGTTGAAGAGTGCACAGGTGAAGAGTGCACAGGTGAAGAGTGCACAGGTGAAGAGTGCACAGGTGAAGAGTGCACAGGTGAAGAGTGCACTGGTGAAGAGTGCACAGGCAAAGAGTGCACAGGTGAAGAGTACACAGGTGAAGAGTGTACGAGTGAAGAGTACACAGGTGAAGAGTGTACAAGTGAAGAGTGCACAGGTGAAGAGTGCACAAGTGAAGAGTGCACAGGTGAAGAGTGCACAGGTGAAGAGTGCACAAGTGAAGAGTGCACAGGTGAAGAGTGTACAAGTGAAGAGTACACAGGTGAAGAGTGCACAAGTGAAGAGTGCACAGGTGAAGAGTGCACAGGTGAAGAGTGCACAGGTGAACAGTGCACAGGTGAAGAGTGCACAAGTGAAGAGTGCACAAGTGAAGAGTGCACAGGTGAAGAGTGCACAGGTGAAGAGTGCACAGGTGAAGAGTGCACAGGTGAAGAGTGCACAGGTGAAGAGTGCACAAGTGAAGAGTGCACAAGTGAAGAGTGCACAAGTGAAGAGTGCACAGGTGAAGAGTGCACAGGTGAAGAGTGCACAGGTGAAGAGTGCACAAGTGAAGAGTGCACAGGTGAAGAGTGCACAAGTGAAGAGTGCACAAGTGAAGAGTGCACAAGTGAAGAGTGCACAGGTGAAGAGTGCACAGGTGAAGAGTGCACAGGTGAAGAGTGCACAAGTGAAGAGTGCACAGGTGAAGAGTGCACAGGTGAAGAGTGCACAGGTGAAGAGTGCACAGGTGAAGAGTGCACAGGTGAAGAGTGCACAGGTGAAGAGTGCACAGGTGAAGAGTGCACAGGTGAAGAGTGCACAGGTGAAGAGTGCACAGGTGAAGAGTGCACAGGTGAAGAGTGCACAGGTGAAGAGTGCACAGGTGAAGAGTGCACAGGTGAAGAGTGCACAAGTGAAGAGTGCACAAGTGAAGAGTGCACAGGTGAAGAGTGCACAGGTGAAGAGTGCACAGGTGAAGAGTGCACAGGTGAAGAGTGCACAGGTGAAGAATGCACAGGTGAAGAGTGCACAGGTGAAGAGTGCACAGATGAAGAGTGCACAGGTGAAGAGTGCACAGGTGAAGAGTGCACAGGTGAAGAGTGCACAGGTGAAGAGTGCACAGGTGAAGAGTGCACAGGTGAAGAGTGCACAGGTGAAGAGTGCACAGGTGAAGAGTGCACAAGTGAAGAGTGCACAAGTGAAGAGTGCACAGGTGAAGAGTGCACAGGTGAAGAGTGCACAGGTGAAGAGTGCACAGGTGAAGAGTGCACAGGTGAAGAGTGCACAAGTGAAGAGTGCACAAGTGAAGAGTGCACAGGTGAAGAGTGCACAGGTGAAGAGTGCACAGGTGAAGAGTGCACAGGTGAAGAGTGCACAGGTGAAGAGTGCACAGGTGAAGAGTGCACAGGTGAAGAGTGCACAGGTGAAGAGTGCACAGGTGAAGAGTGCACAGGTGAAGAGTGCACAGGTGAAGAGTGCACAGGTGAAGAGTGCACAGGTGAAGGAAGGGGAAGTACTTACAACTCAGTTCATTCACTTTTATCAAGATCAAAATATTTCTCGTTGAATATATTTGCTTGTATTAATGTTCCTTAAATATTGATCAATGAAAAGTGTGAAAGCTCTTGGGCAGAAAATTTGAAACTCAGACACAGTAGATCATTTACTAGAGAAGGTCTCTTGTTTGTACTCAGGATAAACAGATCTGTTTCAGTTGTGTGTCGGCTTTATGTAAGTGTTGGAGTTCTAGCTTGAGACTTGAAGACTTTGGCCCAGAGCTGTATGTTAACCACTGTATCAAGGCCAACTTCAGAAAACTACGTCAGTGGTGGCAGTTCCTGAAGTCAGTGGTGGCAGTTCAAGAACGTTTGTTGAAATAGTTGTTGCCATGCGTGGTAGTGATGCAGGTGGTGATAATAGATCTGACATAGACAGCAGGCAGGTAGTCTACCGTGGCAGTCAGCCTCCGCCGCCGCTACGCCGCAACACAGCGCCAAGCATCACCAGCAACCAACCTCTACACTACACTCTCTGGGTTCCCACCACCTCCTCAGAAACCCAACCTCACCTTCTCATTAGCGCCGTGTCTCGCAGAGGAGAACGATTCTTTCTGTCCTTTTTCGCTTCTGCCCGGAGACCGGCAGCTGATAGATCTTTATCAGCATTAGTGAAACAGAAGACAGCTGCTGGAACGGTCCTTGAGAACAGCAGCAGAGAGACAAGCAAGTCTTGTGTATATTCGTGCAGACAACAACTATTCCCATGTTAAGCAAGATTTACTGACAAGCTCAGACAGCGAATATACTAGCGAATATATATGTATATATGTTGTGCCGAATAGGTAAAACTTGCGATTTTGGCTTAAACAGCAACGTTCTTCTTGCCGAATAAGGCAAGCGAAAACTTGTGTATGCAATAATTTCCCAAAAATCATTCTGAACCTAACGAGAAACCTTAATTTCATTGTGTTTGTTTATTAAATTGTAAACTTATCCAAAATATATTTAGTTAGATTAGGTTAAATTAAATTGCGCTTGTTATAATAAGGTTAGGTAAGTTTTCTAAGGTTCTTTTGGTACAAAATTATTAATTTTTACATTAACATAAATGAAAAATATATATCTCTAAACGTATAAGAGAAATTTTTAGAAGGGACTTAATTTTAAATGAGTTCTTGCTAATTGACCAGTTTTGCCTATTCGGCACGACATATACACGATAACTATACATCTGAACACAGAATAATGCGTAATAAAACTATGAAGCATTTGCAAATCAATAAAGCACCATCTATATTAATAAAATTACGTAATTTTGGCGTGAGCGTTTGTAGAGGAGGTCGAGGATGAGTTCCGTAAGGTAATACTTACTCTTGGCCTGAACCCTTGTTGGGGAGGTCGAGGATGAGCTCCCTGAGGTAATACTTACTCTTTTCCTGAACCCTTGTTGGGGAGGTCGAGGATGAGCTCCCTAAGGTAATACTTACTCTTGGCCTGAGCCCTTGTTGGGGAGGTCGAGGATGAGTTCCCTGAGGTAATACTTACTCTTGGCCTGAACCCTTGTTGGGGAGGTCGAGGATGAGCTCCCTAAGGTAATACTTACTCTTGGCCTGAACCCTTGTTGGGGAGGTCGAGGATGAGCTCCCTGAGGTAATACTTACTCTTGGCCTGAACCCTTGTTGGGGAGGTCGAGGATGAGCTCCCTGAGGTAATACTTACTCTTGGCCTGAACCCTTGTTGGGGAGGTCGAGGATGAGTTCCCTGAGGTAATACTTACTCTTGGCCTGAGCCCTTGTTGGGGAGGTCGAGGATGAGTTCCCTGAGGTAATACTTACTCTTGGCCTGAGCCCTTGTTGGGGAGGTCGAGGATGAGCTCCCTAAGGTAATACTTACTCTTGGCCTGAGCCCTTGTTGGGGAGGTCGAGGATGAGCTCCCTAAGGTAATACTTACTCTTGGCCTGAACCCTTGTTGGGGAGGTCGAGGATGAGCTCCCTGAGGTAATACTTACTCTTGGCCTGAGCCCTTGTTGGGGAGGTCGAGGATGAGCTCCCTAAGGTAATACTTACTCTTGGCCTGAACCCTTGTTGGGGAGGTCGAGGATGAGTTCCCGGAGAGCCTGGATGAAGTCGTTGTGGCCAGCGATGAGGGAAGTGACAACAGCGAACTTGGGCCAGGAATACCGCTGTAGGATGGACAACATAGCCGCTGCCTGCTGCTCGATGGACGGTGCCAGCTGCAGCTGCGGACTGGTGGTGCGCTGTGGAGAACACCACCAAGAGTACTGGTGAGTACTGGTGATGATGGTGAGGTGATGATAATATACAGTAACTACACTATATGATAACCCTTAGTATACCGCTCCCTGATGATCACATCAGTATTCTTCAAGCATTACTTACAGTGTTTGATCATCCTTAGTATATTGAACTGAACATAAGAACATACGAATATAAGAAAGAAAGAACACTGCAGCAGGCCTACTGACCCATGCGAAGCACGTCCATGCCACCCCCTCCGGCCTAGAACAATGACCATCTAGTCAGGTCACTTCCACTTAAGGAAGGAGCACGGCACCAGACCTGGTAGCACAAGCTAGTCAGGTCCAATTCACACCCACCCACACCCACTCATATATTTATCCAACCTATTTTTAAAACTACACAAGGTCTTAGCTTCTATGACAGTACTCGGGAATTTGTTCCACTCATCCACAACTCTATTACCAAACCAGTGCTTTCCTATATCCTTCCTGAATATGATTTTTTTCAAGCTTAAAACCATTGCTGCGAGTCCTGTCTTGGCTCGATATTTTTAACACGTTATTTACATCCCCTTTATTTATATCTGTTTCCATTTACACCCAACATATCCCTAATCTACGTTCTTCATTTTTACTTGCAAAGGTAACCCAGTTTACCTGGGATAATCACCAGGATTAAAAGGGATTCAAAGTCACTTCGAAGTTACGTAAGAACTTCAAGTTCATTTCAAGCTGCTTGAAAGTATTTCCTAGAGTCAGACTTACTGCAGCTTACTAAGGACAACTGCTGGACTGCTGCAGAAAGGAAGAAAGGAATGAAAGAAGGAAGGAGGAAGGAATGGAAGGAAGGAAGAAGGAAGGAAGGAAGGAAAGAAGGAAGGAAGAAGGAGGAAGGAGAGAAGGAAAGAAAGAATGGGAAGGAAGGAAGGAAAGGAACAGGAGGAAGGAAGGAAAGAAAAGGAAGAAGGAAGAAGAGGAAGGAAGGAAAGAGGAAGGAAGGAAGGAAAAAAGAGAAGGAGGAAGGAAGGAAAAAGGAAGGAAGGGAGGAAGAAGGAAGGAAGGAGAAGAAAACGAAGGAAAGAAGAGAAGGAAGGAAGAAGGAAGGAAGGAAGGAAGAAGGAAGGAAGGAAGAAAGGAAGGAAGGAAGGAAAGAAGGAAGGAAGGAAGGAAGGAAAGAGGAAGGATTGGAAGGAAGGAAAGAAGGAAGGAAGGAAGGAAGAAAGAAGGAAGGAAGGAAAGAAGGAAGGAAGGACAGGAAGGAAGGCAAAGAAGAAGGAAATAGGAAAGAAGGAAGGAAGGAAGGAAAAAGGGCAGCGAGGAAGGAGGAAGGAGAAGAAGAGAGAACACGCGAGAGTGCAGACGAAGCCAAGGTAACGGCAGGCAGATGATGCAGGAAGGAAAGAAGGAAATAGAAAGAGAGGAGGCGGAAGCTCGGATTCCTTCCTCCTCAAGCCTCGCAGGCCGCCCATCTCCTCTGCGAGAGGATCCGCATCCTACACGTACGATTACGACGGATGTTCCCGCTCGACGCCCGCCCTTCCTTCCTCCTTCGTCTACTGCCAGCACCTTCCCTCCTTCCGTCCTCCTGCCTGTCCTCCGTCCTTCGCTCAGCTGCCTTTGGACCTCGCTACTCCTAGGCCGGTGCACTCTCCGCTCTCCTTGCACCGCTCTGCCTCTCCGCCTCTCTCCCTCGGCATCATGAGACGAGCGCCTTCCTCTCATCGAGTCGTCCTGCATACCCAGCCGGCAGCCTCTTCTTCCTCTCTGCCTCCTGCAGGTCACCCTTGCAGTCCCGGGACGCCACCTCTCCTTCCTGCCTCAGAGGCCTACGACAGCTCAGACCGGAACGAAACCCTTAGAGCCGTTCCGAGCCTTTCCCGCTCCAGCTACGTTCCTCCTTCCTCGACCTCGCCTTCCTTCCTTGCTTCGACATCCGATCCTTCTCCCGCGTCCCTCCGGCGACTTACCGTCCTCGTACGAGCCGGTCCCACTCCTTGCCTCCTCATCTTCCTCTGACTTCGCTGCTGCCTGCCGTTCAGACGACGTACCGGACCGGTTCTACGCCTCCTAAACCGCCGCGTTCCTCGACTGCCTTCCGCATCCGCCGCGGACTCAGACCTACGCAGACGTCGACCTCCTCCTTAGACCGTACCCCAGCCCCGCGTCCCGTACCCCCTACGTCCGCGCTCGGCTCGGACGACTGCTCACTCTTCTCCACCTCGACCTGCCCTGACTCGACCCGCGTCGCAGTGCAGCTGCAGAGCCTCCTGCGGTCCCTGCTAGCCAGTCCAAGGCCTCTCCTCCTCTCGCCTCAGAGCGCCTCCTTACCGTCCTTCTTCCTTTCCTCCGCCATTCCTTCCTCGCCGATGGCCTTCGCCTGCCTTCCCCCTGAGTGCATACCGACGGACTTCCTGCCTCCCGGGCCCTCTTCCCGTCCTTCGCCGCCTCCCCGACTTCCTGCCTCTCTCAGCTGCCTTCACTCCTCAATGCATGCATACGTGAGACAGGGACTCTCCACCCTTCTCCAGCATCCTGCTCCTTCGGCCGATCACTACCGCTTCCATCCTGCCTGGCCATGATGCCGTACGATTCCCTAGCCTCACCTTCCTTCGGACATCCGATCCACCTTCAGGACATCTCCACTCCTCATGCGGCCTTCCCCATCGGCACCAGATCCTCCTTCCTCTGCCGCGGCTCGGATCCATCGCCCCCTTCCTTCCAGGTCCTCATCTCGCGCGTCTCCTACTACCTCGAGAACCCCCGTCGGCCCGATTTCCTCGACCGCTTTCCATCCTGCTCCCCACGTACTAAGGACATGCTCATCGCTTCCTATCCTCCTTCCTCCTCCTCCTCCGCATGCCTACGACTCCTCGTCCCGCCTCCTCATCCAGCTGCCCTCTACTTCCTCCGCTCTTCATCCGTATCACCTTGTCCTCCTCAGTTCACCTTCCTTCAGTCCCTGCCCCCCTTCAATTACATTCGTTCATCCTCCTTTCTTCCCTCTCCTGCTTCGCTTCCTTCTCCTACCTTCCTTCCTCTTTTTGACTCCTCCCTTCCTTCCAACCTTCCTTCCTCCCTTCCTGTCACGCTTCCTTCCCTTCCCAGCACTCCTTCCCTCCTTCCTTCCTATCCTTCCTTCCCTCCTTCCTCCTTCCTCTCCCTCCTCCTTCCTTCACTTCCTTATTAACTTTCTTAGAATCACCGACTGAAATCAACGCAAGAAATACGAGGCCCCACGACGCCAACCATAAGAACCCACGCAGACTAACTACAACCCATACAAACAAGCACAACGACGAGACAAGCAACCAGCACGCCACCCCATAGCCAGGACAAGGACAAAAGCACAAGAAAGAAAAGAAATGAAGCAAGAAGAATACAACTGAACCGCCACCGGAGAAGGAAGGCCGTCTAATAATACGACTGAATCACGAAGCAAGGCGCCCAAGGAAAAGGCTTAGGAGGTAGTATGTAGAAATGGAATGAATAAGGATGAAGGAAGAATGGAAGGAAGATGAAGGTAAAGAGAGAATGAAGGATGATCGAAGAGACAAGATAGGAGGTAAGAGAGAAGGAGAAGGTACATTGATAGTAAGAAAAGAAGTGAAGTAAGATGGAAGGAGGAAGGAAGGATGGAAGCAAGTAGGAGAGGAAGGAAGGTTGGAGGAGTGAGGAAGAAGGAAGGAGGAAGATAAATAAGAAGAAGGAATAATGATAGGAAGGGAATAAGGATAGGAAAGAGGGAATAGTGGATGATTAAAGAGAGAAGGCTGGATGAGAGGAAGTAAGGATAGGATGGTGGTAGGAGGAAAGTAGCAGAGGAAGAGGAGGAAGGAAGTTGATGAGGAGGAAGGAAGTAGAAAAGGATCGAGAATGGAAGGTTGATGGAAGAGGAAGGAAGGATGATTATGATTAGGAGATGGAGAAGGAATATGGAAGGAAGTAAGGTAATGATAAGGAAAGAAGGACGGAGAAAGAAAGAAGAGATAAGACGGAAGGAAGGAGAAAAGGAAGGAAGGATGAAAAAGAAGAAGGAAGGAGGAGGAAAAGAAAAAGAAAGAGGAAGGAATGAAAGAAGGAGGAAGGAAGGAAGGAAAGGAAGGAAGGAGAAGAAAAAAGGAAGGAATAAGGAAGGAGGAAGAAGAAGATGGAAGGAGTGAGTAAGAAGAAGGAGAAGAAGGAAGGAAAGGATGAAGGAGGTAAGGAAGGAAGAGGAATGAAAGAGAATAAGGAGGAATGAAGGAAGGATGGTATGGAAGGAAGGTAATTAGAAGGAAGGAAGTAAAGGAAGATTAGAGGAGTGAATGAATAGTAGGAAGGTAATAGAAGGAAGGAAGGAAGGATGGAAAGAGGAAGGAAGGATATGGAAGGAAGAAGGAATGAAGTAAGGAAGGATGAAGTAGGAAGCTACAGTGTATGTTGTCTCTTATGATCTGTAATGGACAGCATTGAAAATATATTAATTACTTGAATCATAATTAATTATATATAGTATTATATATATATATTATTATTTTATATATATTATATATATATATTAATATATATATATATATATAATATATTTTATATTTAAAATTTTTTAAGTATATTTTATTATATTATATTATATATATTATATATAATATTTTTATTATTATGTTTTATTATTATGTTGTATGGTTTAATTAATAGTTGTGATTGAGGTCTGATGAGTCGATGTTGATGTTAAATGATTTGTTTTATTATGTTTGAGAGTCTTATTGACGGAATTAAGTTGTTGAGGTGTGGGGTTAGGTGGTGGTGGTGGTGTTGGTGGTTGTGTGGTGTGGTTGGTGGTGATGGTGGTGGTGGTGGTATGTTGGTTGGGTGAGTGAGTGGTGGTAGTGGTATTGGTGGTAGGTGTGGTGGTAGGTGGTGAGTGAGTTGGTGGTGGTGGTGGTGTTGGTGGGTTGGTGGTGGTGGTGGTGGTGGTGGTGTATTGGTGGTGGTAGTGGTGGTGTGGTGTGTGGT